AAACAAAAAAGTTATCGACCTCTAAGAAGATGTACACACAACAATAATGCAAAACCATAATTCAAGTTGTCACCCCCATGTTATTCAAAGCTAGGGTGCATAAATGTAAATGCATTAAGAATATATAAAAAAAGGAGATTGTTCAAATATCAGCATGTGTGGCGAACAATCGTATCAAGGAAAAATAAAGGCAATAAATAAAAATGAAGAGTCACACATTTCGCTACCCATGATTGCAATTCTGACCTCCGAAAAACAAGTACCGAATTAAGGCAATAATAAATTAAGGGAGCATAATAAATAGTATGAGATAAACAAAACTCTATCCGATTATCTAAGATTGAAATATAGATAATAACAAAAGGCTTTTTTTGTCGCTAGTTATAAAAAAAGAAAACTACAAAGGCAATAACATATTACTAATGGTCTTAACTTTGCTATTATCTTAATTTTTGCCATTTTCTTGATTTGGTAACTTTAAATAGAGATCGAGGACATGATATTTGTCACTACATTCTGAGGAAGAATGCCTCTATGTACTAGGTCTCCTATAAGATACTCCTGTGCTTGGTCATAATAGTTTACCAAGAGGTCTTCATACATCAAGATTTCAGTAAGGCTAGTGAGGAACTCATCCTCAGTTCGCATGTCCTTCAGTTATTTCTTTAAGCAAGCAATTTCAATTCACCGCTTCTCTGCTTCTTTGCAGTTTACTTTGGCTTTTCTCATCTACTCTGCATGTTTGGTGTCTCTATTATGAAGATCCTTTTTTTCACCTATTTAATCTGTGACGTGAATTATTTTAGCAGCTCTATTAAATTCATTATAGGTTGATTCAACTTTAGTCAACTCTTTGTGGAGCTTCACCTAATTGACAGTCAGTCCTTCACTTGCCTCTCAAACGCCACACTCCAGTTCAAATTTTCAATTATTTTAGTCTGCAATGCGACATATTCTTGTTTGATAACCACCCACGAATCATTGCTTTTTAAGTGTTCAAACTTGAAGTTAATTCCTCTCCTTTAAGCATAAACTGATTCAAGCTCTTCTTCTCTCTCATAAAGGAGCACTGTGATAAACCAACCGTGAATGTTGAATACCATGTAGTTGACGTGCTTTCCGATAGTGGGACATGATGAGCTTCTAGCTTGATGGCCTGTATCAATCCCTCAAATTTCTCAAAAAAATCACTGAACAAATGTGAAAGGATGTGGGCAAGTGTGCTACATCAGGTAGTCATTCTTGGGTCAAATTATCCAGCACTCCGGTGTCACTTTAGTTCATAAGTAAGATTCAACACTCCATGTCAGGTACATAATGGTGTCCTTAACCTCCTTTCCTCCCTTACAAGCCATCTTCTCATTCGGATATATCACATTAAAACCTTTTTTTACTAGGAAACACAACACTCTATTTAGAAAACTCCAAGGTGAACAACAAGTCTGACTTTCTTCACGGTAGCAACACAATGTAAGGTTTTCTTCTTTAGTTTCTTCCTCCTCTTCCCTCAAAACAGTTCTGCCAAGCATCAAAGATCATGCAACATCAAGGGTCAAAGGAAGAGTTATTATCGTTGTAATATGGCTAAAAATGGAGCTGGACAGCCTTTTCCCCTCATCTGCATTCAAAAAAGAAGAAAAATGATCCACCATTCAATCATTAGAAACTCAAAAATTTATGGATTCTGGATCATGAAGATTAAAATTGTATATCCGTCGTTCACCATTTCCTTCAGAAATTTGATCAAAGTATATCAATATTCACCTTATATAAAGTACGGTAGCCAACATCCTCTTTAGAAGTCATCAAGAGGGGGTTCATGCACTACCATTTCAGATCATTGTGGTTATGTAAAAATCCTAAATCGCTCCTACTACAACTGAAACAAAACATCTTCTTCTTCTTACTTTCTATCTTGTTCATGTGGTCAATCATCCTAACATTTGAAGAAAAGATTACCATACCATTGCTTTGCACTTTTGGGGGGAAGACATCTAAAACAAGTAAGTAGACCAAAACAACCACTTAAAAAGAGTGTACATGATGACTATCATCATGCGCACAATAGAGTTAGGGCAGATTTGAGCAAGAACAAGCTTAAAAAATTTGAAGATAAAGACAATATCTATTACAAAGGAAACCTCAAACCCAGTTGAAACTGGTTTAAGTAGACGCGTATCTCGTTTTGATAGATAATGTTAGGAGTTTTGACCTTCGTTACCAACCTCAAAGTCACTAAATTATCAAAAACATATTCTAGATGTGCTTCAGTTAGTGCCTTAGTAAAAAATAACAATAGTTCCTTGGACTCCATCTCTTACAAATAAAAAACACAGTCATTTTGTCTCGATACTATTAACAGGGAGATTAAGAGACACGTACATCAAATGAAATATAAATTAATAGTTCATAATAAAGAGTAATGAAAAGGATAACTGAACAATCGGAAGAAGCTTAACAAACCGTCTAACTGTTTTATTGTGTCTTCATTTCAAAAATTCACAAACATTACAAGAATGAAATTATATTACAAATTAGTTGACATTAGAAAAACTATCACAAAATAACTGTACATTATTACAAATAAAAAAAGAAACAAATCATTCTTTCTGACATCATCCAAAATAATAGTGCCTGATCGAATAAAATACTAAAGAACTAATTGACCAGTATATAAGAAGTTATCCAAGTTGCCAAAGTCATCATCTGGAGGAAACTAACTCCACTTCCATCACCTCTAGTTTCCATCAAGTGTACATGGAACTTTATTTTAACTTTTCTTTCAATTCAACAATTTATTTGTGTGACTTAAATTAGTCATCACCTCTCTATCTTAAAGATTAATGATGTGCTCCTTAACATCCAATAAATCCTGCTCTAGAATAGTTAGACGCTCCCTTAAGCTATTTTTCATTGTAGGTTGAACCATCTTAAAGCCATACGAAGTGCTCGTCTTCAACTCTATATGCCTATGGAGTCGTTCAATCAGACCAAACATCACTTTGGGTGTCAAAATGTTAACGCCCTCAGAGATTTGGTTGGCAGCCGACATGATCGACTCCAACATAATCTCAACTTCAGTAGCTTCTAATTTTAGGTCCTTCACAATGATTTCCTACATTTTATCTACAAATAGTAAGACAAAGTACTCATAGAAAAAAGAAGCTTCAATCTAACAAACTAGTGCAACATTAATTTCAAGGGGTAGATCAAAACCACCTTGATCCATGGCTTCACCTTCCATGACATAATCTATTGAAGAGGCATCTTCAAGTGCAGGAGACTCCCAAGGGGCAACAACAAGAATGAGTTGTTGATCAACAGATAGATCTGCATTTTCAACAAGATGAAAGAGTTCACAAGTATAATCACAGTCCAGACATCTAATCCAAACATCTAGAAATCAAGGGGAATCCTTCCTGATTGAAAAAATCTCAGAAGGAAGCGATGTCATCTCAAGTTTGAGATGACATCCCTTTTCTTATCCTCAACTGCATATGAAAGATCCATGATCCTCATGGGGAGATTACTAAATGTACCTTCCCTAAGAACACTCTATTCCTTGAAAGACTTAATCCTCTTTTGTGGCTTTTCCTTTTCATACTGAATAGCCCTTTGTCTTCTATCAAAAACCCTATCCTCAAGGTGTTCTCTTGAGATCTTTATCCCATCGACAATGATCTTATTTGACTTGGGATGTCATTGATAAAAAAAATTTCATACATCTAAGAAGAAGAACCCTTCTTCAGAATGTAAATTTACAACTCTCATACAATATTTTTATAAATTTAGAAGGAAGTAAACAATTTAAAATAGATACTAAAACCATTGTAATTAATACTATATTTAACACAATGCTTCATTCTCTCTTTCGGGAGCATAACGACGTAGCAATAGACTTTTTGAAACACACGTTTGTCGGCACCACAAACATGATACGACACCCATTCTCTGACAAAAGGAAGGCACCAATACCACTTGAATACCATCAAGTGCAGGATATAATTATAATAAGTTTCATCAAGTAAAAGCAAAGATTTGAGATGACCCCTTCCCGAAGGAGAGCCAAGAACCTCGATCGAGGACCAATTGTTTGCACTTTCCTAGAGTCTTAAGATACTACTTCCTGAAAGTGTAGCACAAAGTGACCCTAGTAGATGGCCACTCCATACTCAATAAAGAGTGAGCGCGGTTTGACTTCTTGTAGGTTCAACCAAAATGCCTCAGTCCACGTTCGAACTATATTATGTTTATGCTTTCGAAACCCCTGGATTAAGCTGTAAATCACAATGAGTATGGAACATTCAAAATTATTTGGAGTAAATAAATCTTCATTATCTTATTCTTCTTGGAATTTCTAAGCGAAGATCCAAAAAAATCAAAGTACTAAATGTGTACCCAAATACGATCAAGAATCCGATCAAAATTTTTACATGGGCACTCTCGAACAGAGTCAACAACCAAAAAAGACCATCATTGCATTAAAATGCATACATCCATTAATTTTATGATGTCGTCTAACATTCGCGTCACAATCTTTTTATCAAGACAATAAATATATGTGGTAACGCACGAGATAAAATTTTAGAAATATTTATCTTTTCTTATGTGTAGGGGAAGAAGAGGTATCCAAAAAAGGTGAAGAAATTTTTTCTCTCGCTCGAACCAAGTATCCAAAAAAGGTGAAGAAATTTTTTCTCTCGCTTGAACCAAAAATATTTCTTCCCACCAAAACTATTTCTTCTTTCCCCAGAAATAAAAGGTAGGGAATTTTATATTTTTTTAAGCGTATTAAATACTTTAAATGTAATTATAAAAATTTGCGTGTGAAAAATATATATAGCTGTCCTTCAAAAAAATTCCAGATAATCTCTTTTATGTGAGTTCCACGTGGACAAGCTTTTTGGGGTCTAATGAAGCGATCATACTTGGACGGCCAGGATCATTCCCAAACCCTACGGCTGTCCTTGACAAGACTAAGAAATTAGAACATTGTCGTCTCGTACATCTATCTCGGACCGGCTTTCAATCAATTCGCCTGGTCGAGATAAATACTGTGGGCACGTTTCGTCTAATCCGATTTGCTCATTTCTTTTACATTCCGGCTCTCCTCCGAGGTAGGATTGGATCACCTCTTGCAGTTGCGTCGACGGTTGGCGGGGATGGCGAGGCGATGCTCTCACTGCAGTAACAATGGACACAATTCCAGAACTTGTCCAGGCCGCGGAGGTTGTGGTGGAGTGAAGCTTTTCGGTGTGAGGATTACTGAAGGAGCTGGGGCGATGAAGAAGAGCGCGAGCATGGGAAACCTCTCTTCTGTGGTGAGTCACCACCCGATCTGGCCAGAGATCATGCGGCCGCCGCGTCTGGATACGCTTCTGATGATACAGGGCACGCGTCCTGTTCGTCGAATTGCCGCAACGAGCGCAAGAAAGGTCTTATTTTATTTTATTATTATTATTATTTTTTTGGGTTTCCGGGGGCTGTTCGTTTGAGATGGGAAGTGGTACTTATTGCATGAGCTTTGCTTTGATGGATGGGAAACTGGCTTCTTAAACACATAGAAGTTGTTTTAGAGATTTCTGATGATTTTATTTTTTCTAAAAAAGGCGGTGTTTTTATTTGCAATATCGCTTCCTTTTTTTTTTAATTTTGATCTGGAGCGCAAGGAAGATAATAATTTGTTTTTCTTGGGCTTGAAAATCTTTCAAGTTGCTCAGTGATGATGCAATATGTTTTATTAGATTTGCAGTTATCTTAAACTAAATTTAAAAGGGTTTTAAATTCATCCTAACAGAGTTTTGGTGGATATTACCGAATTTTATTTCCTTGAGAAAGTGAACGCGTAGAAAATTTTTTTTGTTTCTTGCTGATCATTGCAAGGTGTTGCTGTTATGTGTAAGCTGCAATTTTTTTTTTTTGGTAAGAAATTGGACGTTACCATTTTAATTTCTCATGCCATTGCAGTGTTAATATGCATGCTTTTGAACATATGGTCGGGATTGTTTTTTACCCTTCAAAAAATACAGCAAAGAACAAATTTTAACACCGTGTCTCTGAGATTTTATGATTTAACAAAGTAATAATCCCACCAATTTGATGTCAATGTATGCATGATTGGATTGTGATACATATTATTTAATTTTTGAGTTTGTGAAAGATATCTTTTTTTTTTTTTTTTTTCATTGCCTTCATCTCCTTATTCTCTTGTATGGTTTGTTAATCACCCATTGAAAGCGTATGTCTTAGTTTTTACTGGCGATGCTTTATTTTATTTGCTTTCGAGTGCTTTTTTTTTTAATTTTGTTATAATAGTTTTATCTTTCTTTATCTTGTTTTTTTATCCCGCTTCAAGTCTGTTTCTGCGACGCGTGCTATTGCAAACCTTGGCACTTGTTAAATTATAAATTTATGCTACTGCAAAAAATGATATTAACTTGTCCTATTCTATCAAAAGTATATTATCTTCCTTGCCACTACTTATCTAGCGGAGTCAAATCCTTCAAGTAGGCCGACTTTAAATTGCTTTTTATTATTTGTAATATCCCGTTCACGAACCACTTTTTAAACCAACAATGAAAGTGACAGGGATGCAGTTGCACTGATTTTTAATTGCAATTCAGCTTACTTATTATACTATAATGCTCCCCATCTACGAAGTTATTATAAAAGTTTAGCTGAATGTTTACTGAACTCTCTTGTATGAAACTGTTTTTTTTCGCTTAATTAATGTCTTTTAGCTTAGATTTCCGTACTCTTATCTGCCTAGTACCCATTTTTGCTTGACTTTTCTTCTTATTCATTATATTAGAGGATAGGTATAACTTGAAGAGTTATCTTTATCAAGAGTTGCAACTGGGAAAATAATTTATCTTGATGAATTATGATTCAACCTGGATCAATTTCTTTATTTTTAGTTGTGCTTAGTCTAAAAGGTGGTGATGAAGTTTCATATCAAGATGTTATTAACAATTTGTCTTACTTGTTGAGTGATTCATACTTTTAGTTGTACTGAACTTTACTTGTTGTCCGCATTTTGTCTCTAAGTGTAAAGCCACTCATCCACCTAATCATTCTCATCTCGGCAACACTTAACTTATTATTATGCTTCTCTTTCAAAGGCCAACATTCAGCACATACTGTATTTGGTTTCATATATGGTAAGAAGCTTAATGAGTAAAAGCTAAGCAATTGCAAATTGTTGTTCGAAAATATTTCTTTAACATTTTTTTTGGTCATCTGCTTTGATATTAAGAAAGGAAGAGGTAGACCTAAGAAGACTTGGGCTTATTGTATTAAAAATGATCTTAATTTACTAGAACTAAATGAAAATATGACACTAAATAGGACGCAATGGAGAAAAAGGATTCATGTAGCCGACCCCACGTAGTGGGATTAAGGCTTTGTTGTTGTTGTTGTTGTTGTTCTTGAGTGGTCTTTTGTTTTCAAATTTATTAATATTTGATGATTTCTTGTTGTCATATTTTGTCATTTGATTCATGTATCAAATACTGTTCTTGTAATTTTTTTGCTTGTGATATTGTTTGCTATGAGATCTATATTTTTGCGGTGGTGCTATCTTATCTTATTCTTTTATTGCATTCATATTTTGACTCAATGAAGCTTACATTCATAGAAAAGGATAGATGATTCGATCCACTAGAAAAATTGAAGCCACTGACATGATGACACTATGAAGAAACACCCACTAGTCCATTTAATAAAAAGAAAACCCAAGGCATCCTCACTGTAGATTTACCTTACATTTGTTCTTCTTATGCCTCGCACTTCGATTTAAGCCCCCAAATCTATCAAACAATTCTAGTAGCCAAGATGTATAGAATTTGAGGACACAAGAGATGCCATTTTGCAAGTTTAATAGTAAACCTATGTCGATAGTTGTTGGCCTTAATTACGTGCTACTCAACAATATAAAAAACTGAGATATGAGGATTCTCATGTGCAAACCTTCAGCTAGGATTTGAAGTCCGGATAATCACTCAATCACTAAATTTTGCACTTTTTCTTTAGGAATAATCTAAATTAGCTACTAATTGAATCAATCTTAGAATTCCGTCCTCTGACTCAATATTGTGGTTAAATTTTAATCTCTTATAAGAGAACCATCAAGAATTTTTTCTATGCATTTTGTTCTATTATAATTGATAGTGCATTTGTTGGTAAATTTTTGTACCTGTGAAGTGGCCATCTCCTCACCATTAATGTTGTAATAGTATTACTTAGCAAAGCCATTGTATATGCAATGAATCATGATTGGTTTAATTTCTTTACCCATTATATACATCATTTTGCATCCAACTTTGTTTCATATCTCTTTTTATAGCCAAGACGCTCATCTTTATTTGTTTCCTAAAATTATGACAATCCAATGCAGGCGAAAAGAATAATATAATTGTTGCGGCTCCTTAGGTTGCACTGTACAAAACAAAGCCTCTTGATTCTTCAATCTGTCATGACAGACATATAAGAACCCTTGTAGACATTGATGAATTTTACACCTTATGCATCAATTAAAGTGGATACATTATTTTGTCTTAATATAGAGGCATGTCTCTCCCTAGCCTATTTTATAATCGCACCATCCATTGTTGTTATACAAATATTATCATAACAACCTTGACAACGACAACATCTTTAGAAAAAATTATGACCTACATTTGGATACATGATTCATTTTCAAATTAGAGAAATACCTCAACCCAATAAATTTTTTAATCGCACAATCTTGTGTTGTAATACAGATAATGTCATGACCTATGGTTCTACTCACTTTTTTGTTCATATTAAACACCTTCTGCATAGTTTACTAGTAGTTAACGTGGTCGAGGAGAATTCTACTTATGCTATTTCATCCATATAAGACCTCTTTTCTTTAGAATGGTGCTCAAGTGCAAAAGCAGTAGCCACATTTGTATCATCTTTTGAAGTTTACTCACTGTCTGATCTATCAGATGTATCAAAAACTTGGTGCTATGAAGAGTTGATTCATTGAATATGAGCTCAGCTTGTTCCTTAAATTTGATTTTTTTTTTTCAGCTTTTTCCAGGAATTGTTGGCTGAAAGAATGTTATCACTCGCTGATAATAATGGAGGAAAGATGGCTAAAAACCATTGCAAGGAACTTGGAGTTGAAGAGTAGGAGCGTTGGAAATATTTGGGTTTACAATATAGCTAGGTGTACAAAAGTTTTATGGGAGTATGCAATGAAAGGCACTAGTTGAACATCTACAGTTCAAGGCTCTAATTGAAGTTCTGTAGCGTAAGGGGCAGGACTGAGCCTGCTAAAATCTTTCATGGATTGAGCCATTAAGTGAGTTGCTCTCTCAAAACATTCAAGCGGCCTAATTATGGCACATTGTAGTAGCAGCAGTAGTAACAGACCTAGTTCTTATATCTAGTTCCTTTGTCCGAATGTAAGGGGGCATTTTTGAACGCACTAAAGGGAATATTTGTTAGAAGTTAGCTTTCTCATTTACAATAGTGCTTCAACCCTTTGGAAGCCTTCTACAAAAGAAAACGTGCTTGTGAACCCACACCTTGTAGAAGAAAATTCAACTTCAAATGTGTTCGCTAATCAATTCTTTCGCTAATACAGATGATGTCATGACCTATAGCTCTACTCACATTTTTGTTTTCATATTAAACTCCTCCTACATAGTTTAGAAGTAGATAACATGGTCAAGGAGAATTCTACTTATGCAATTTGCTCTCCCTCTATGCTAGTTCATTCATATAAGCCCTCTTTTCTTTAGAATGGTGCTCAAGTGCAAAAGCTGTAGCCCACGTTTGCATCAAGTTTTGAAAACAATTCACTGTCTGTTCTATCAGATCTATCAAAAAACTAAGTGCTGTGAAGAGTTGATTCAATGAATACGAGCTCGTTCATTAAATTTGAATTTTTTTTTTCAGCTTTTTTCAGGAGTTGTTGGCTGAAAGAATGTTATCACTAATCAATAATAATGGAGGGAAGGTGGCTGAAAACCATTGCAAGGCACTTCGTCTTTCCACTTGTGTCTTCCCACTAATCAATTTTGTGATGACCACATTACAAACTTGATTGACATACATGGTTTATGCTTCACTAATAAAGCATCTTGTAAAGCACTTGAGAAAATCGCATCGTTTTTCGACTGTGATTTGTCAACTCAACCCATAAAATCTTGTTTTTCTCTTCTCATTCTTTCTTCTGCAGGTTCGCCGCAATAGGTGGGAACTTTGACCCATTTCTTACCATTCCTTCAAAATTTATTGCATGATGGAATTGTCTAATTGTAGTACAGCATGCTCCTTCAACTGCTCAATAGTGAAGGATGACTAGTTTTGCAACTTCTGGTGTCATATATTTGAAACTAAATTGTATCTACTCCTCCATTACATCTTCCTTTGTAATATTTGATATTCTTTTTTTGTGTTG